GAATAACGGGCACGATGAAGGGAAACGAGACAATTCAGTAGTATATGCACGCTACACGGGAATTCATTGAACAATAACGTAATAAAAAGCAAAAGGTGCATCCAATATACGTGACTAGTCGATTAAGCGAAACTACGCTATGGGGCTGTGCTACGGTATGTGAACTCAATCGAGAGAAGGAAAGAAAAAGGGATGAGTGGGGAAAAGAACACAATTAGCAAGATAATTTTGATCGGAGAGGCGCTTTAGAGTAACTTAGGAGTAATGAGCGACCGACTCGTCTTATCTTTACATGAGAGTGCATGTGGAAAGCTAGAAGTCGTACGCTAATTCTTGTTAATCCTACGCTTAGAGAGTATGTTTGTTTCTTGGTTCAACTGATCATGTTCGACTATTATTCGTTGGTTCGCTGCAATTTGTTCCTCCATTCGCATTGTCTGTTTAAAGATTGAAGAGAGATTGCTTGCAATAAGGAGGCAGTTCCACTTTTAATTTTAATAAACCAAAACAAAAAGGCAATTAAAGATCAGGTACTAGGCTTCGAATGCACTATAAATTTATATTTCTGTTAATTAACTTTTACCTGGAGTTAACGTTTTCTTTACACCAAGTAAAAGATCATACATCTTAATGAAATATTAAGGGATATGTAAGAAAAAATATGTAAAAAGTACAGCAGCCTCTTTGAAAAGGGAGGAGTTTGATTTTTATTTAATAAGGTACATATTTCTCTTTCATATTTCCACAAGGTTACGTTACAGATGGTACTTTGTTCTCGTGAATTAGAGCAGCGTGACGTCTTGAATGCTGTGTTATATATACAAGTGAATGTGTGAGCGAGATTCGTGTTTATTAAATTCTTATTCATTACAATCTGACGTCCTTTTTTTCTTTTTAAATGATCTGGCGTTTTAAATGATCTAAGTGAAGTAATCGCAGAATGTTTAAAGTCTGAGCGTATACTTTGAGACCGCACTTTTGTGTGTAAAGTAATTATACTACTTTTATTTTAAGGTGTCATCGTTAGAGCTAAAAACAATCTTTCAATACAATCGCTACATGATCGAAACTGTTGGAAAAGTTTTATCAAAGATATTGTGATAATTGTGATATCAAGGGCAATTCAATTATTTAGAAATTTTAAATTATACTTTTGTTAATTAATTAGTACTAACGGATGCTAATTAATCAAAAGCAAAATAATTTCCACACTGGATACATTTTTGAGAGAAAGTTTTATGTTTCAAGAAGGAATTATTTCATTTCTCGAACTTTGTATTACACCAAGTTTAACTATGCGTACATTTCAAATTAATGACAAACTGAAAGTACAGTGTGAGACTACAGTATAATATGATGGAGTAGCACGATGGAATAGTGAAAGAACAAGTTAGAGTGGCTCGAATGTAAAATCAAATAAAACGCGCCAATAATTTTTAAATTAAATAATTTTTCATTAAAGCAATGCATTCAACTATTTGGGAAGAAAGAAAATAAGATATGGCAAGAGTTTAATAGGAAGTCGAAAACATTTGAAAAGAAATGAGCAATAAGTTGTGGGAGAATAATCGATATTATAACAGACGAATGTTGCATTATTTTTGCGATGTATTGGATGAAGAAGTGCTTCAGGAGTTTACGATAAGATCAAAGTATTGTGGAACAATTATGATGCTCAGAAGCCAAATTGATTAACTCCATGAATTGAAACGTAAAGGAAAATGACAATTACGGAAGTTATTTTTCATACCTTCAAATTTATAATTATGTATTGAGTAAGTAAAATCGCAAAAACAAGTTTTCGTTTCTCGAGGTGTTAAATATTGTTTAAACCATCTAAATATTAACACATCTGCTTGTCTAAATTGAGAATTTCAGATGAAATTTGGTTTTTGAGCAGAAATCACAAATACAAATAGAAAATACGAGATCATTCTGTAATTATAAAAAAGAATAGCAATACATTTGGTGCACAATATTTTTCTAATTAGCAGGAAATCTTTGCTCATATCTTGAAATAAGATTTGTATTACTGATACTTTTAAGGAAATATATCTGGTAATCAAACTTTCTAGTTGATATAATATATTAGTGTAATATATTAGTTAAACTTTAATTGTGCATTCTTTTTATTATAATTGCACTGGTCTCAGTTTCAATTTTTATGAACATAATTAAAATAGAAATTTATTTCCAATACTGGATTTTGTAACAAGCGCTGTACTTTGGATATTTTATATGCTTATTTTATATATGCCTGTATGCTTGTTTTGTACATTCTCTCCGCTTAGTCTAATTATGATCCTTGCGCTCATATCGTTATGAATAGTTGAAATTGCTCTAGAATTCTTTATTCAAGTCGATACACCGAGAAAGCTGTTGAATATCGATTACGTGGAAAGATTATATACGTTATGTACAGCTCTTTTAAATACTCTCAACTAATTAACTGCCATTTCAAATCATTCGCGTTCTTCGAATTTTCGTTCGCAAACATCGTCTCTCCTTATTTATTGTCACATCTCAAGATGAAAATTTGAAAAGGGAAATTCTGCTCAGCGTTTATGTTTGATTTGCATGACTGTATAACAACTGAAGTATGTACTTTTTTTTTTTTCTTTCTAGGAGTATATGGAGTATGACTGATTAGTTTTTAAGAAGAGAGTAATATTGTTGAACATTTTGTACGTAATTAGGATTAATTGTACTTAAGATATCCGATACGATTGTAGCTTCGATCGAAAGTGATTGAAAGTGAAACTAATCGTATCGCGAAGTTAGAAAATAAAGGTCTTATCCTGATGTCGGTAGTTCTTATTTTTATTTTAATATTACTCGCAATTTTCCCATATGTCTTTTATTATTCTTATTTGGAGCAATCACGTGGGGATGACTTGTTTGATCTGGACACGAGATAAAATTACTTTCCTGATGATATTTTTAAAATCAAATTAGTAAATTAATGAAATTATTACTATTATTATTATAAATTATTATTATTAATTCCAGAGTATATATATATATATTTTTCATCTTATTTAAATTAAAATTCAAATTTATTTCAATCATCGTCATAGAACATGTGCTAACTTATGGTTGCTCAGTCACAAAAACTGAATCTTTCATTGACTAAGAATATACATTGATTTATAATTTATTCTTTTAGGTAAATGATAAAATATTCTTTTACAACAAGAAGGCTTGCAAAAAGTATAAAGATTACAGAAGAAGATTAAAATTCACAAAAAGAAAAAAATAGCAAAAATGAACAAAATTACATTACACGAAGAATACAATTAAACCAATAACCGTGACGGACTGTCGATATTTCAAATTGTTATAACTTCGTGCTAAAAAAAAATACATGTGGCATACCAAAAATATCAAACAGACATAAATAATTTGAGACGTTTAAAATAATATTTTGACACTTGCTAGAATTTCAAAAAGAATTTACCGAATAAATGTATCAAAAGCTATATGTTTAAAGACAAACATATTCTTAATTTGTTATATGCTTTCTATTTTTTATTCTTTCTTTATCTTAATTTAATAATTAATTAATTTTAGCGAACACTCAGAGGACTAAAAACTATATCGAATTTTATAAAATCGACGATTGTTAGAGGCAAGAAGCTTGATTCTAGTACAATCGTTTCTGTTCCTTCAATTTCTCTTTAAATCGATCGTCATTATCTACGTTCAATTGTTAAAGCGATGTCGACTTTTCCATCGGAAAGAAGTAAAGGGAATTTCTCAAGTGCCGTATTCTCTCTGTCTCTCTCTCTCTCTCTCTCTTTTATCAGTTGACAAGGGAACGAGTTCACTCTTATCACATGTATTAAATAACAAACGTATGAATTTTACATCGAGCATTTTTGTTTCAATTAACGATTCATTCCGACGTATCATGCCGACCTGGCACACAACATTATACCTCGGAATCTCCAATATATAAAATAAGAGAGTCGAATTTCCATGTTTCACAGTAACGGAGAAGAAAATTATTATACGATTCTTCCACAAGTTTATTGCCTGTTAAAGTGGAATAGCATTGTGATACGACTTTTCCCTTCGCGCAAGTTAATTATTAATTCTCTCTTTTGTTTCGATCGAAGTTGAGCGTTATTGACTCGGCCAGTGACCAATTACAATGGAACCTCTATAACTAGGTGAAATTGCGACACTGCTTTTGCACAACGCGATTAAAACACTATTAAAAAAAAGACTGAAAATTTCTGACGTAAAAATGTAAACATTTTCTCCATGATTTAGAAAACAGATAATTTTACATTAATTCACATACACACACACACACA